CAGACCGAGCCATGGCAATTCCTGGATTGCATTTCCGTTGTTATCTTTGCATGCTCCTCATTGACGAACAGGACCACGATGTTATTACGTCCCAGGCTTTGTAAGGAGAACGTCTCCCCTATATGTTTGAACCGCGGCTCCTTTCTGATCGTGTCGATAACCCATTTTCTCTTTTCCGCGGGCTGGAGATCTGCGTCGTGGCGTGCGAAGTTGAAAACCACTCCATTTTTTTCATGCAGATCATCCAATTGTGCAACTTTCTCCTCAGGGTACTTCCAGACTACTACTTCTTCCTGCTTTCCATCGACCAACTGTGTTTTGGTAGTCTCATCCCCTGTACTTTCGTTCGCTCGATTAGGAATTTGAGGGCCTCATTGTCAATGATATTGGCTTGCTTGTCGGGGACCTCGTTTTCGGCTGTTGCCGTTGCCATCTTTGGGGTGCTCGTTGAAGTATAGACAACAGATTAAACGCTTCTCGACTGCTGTTGAGTCGTACTTGTTGTAAGGCCTCAATGATTAATAGCTAGCTACTACTAGGAGAATGTTATTGACCCTTTGCCTCCGATCGTGAGATCTTACGAACACTTATTTGAGAGCGAACATGCGTAATCGGCACTAATCAAAACGAGCCTATACGACCAATGGTGAGTTAATTGAGAAAGAAGAAGGATTAGCTGGATAACTTCTGCGGGATGGGGTCCGGACCAAAAAAAATCTACGGAAAGGAGATGACGAGGTAACGGGGTGGTTGGTAATGGAGAAGGGGGCGTAGAGGGCCGGCAGGGGGGTCGGGTGGTCGGGATAGGATTGGGGTGAGAAGGGAGTGGTCTCGGTTCGGGGTTGGAGGGTGATTGAATGGGGTCAGATTGGAGTTGGGAGAGGGGTGAGGACGGTGTTGTGGTCAGTTGGGGTGGGAGTGGTTCACGTAAGGGTCGGATCGAAAATGGAAGGAGGAGGAAAAGAGGTGAGATTGGGAATGAAAAGGGGGTGAGAAGAAGACAATGTAGAAGTGAGATGGATGAATCGGGATCGGGGTGGTAGCGAGTCGGGATCTGGGGGACAGATCGGGGATGAGCGTTGGGAGAGGGTGGTGTCGAAGAGGAGTCGGGGGTGGGAACGGTGTGGAGTCGGGATGGGGTTGGGTGAACACAGTTTTGGGGTCTGGTGTGGGCCCGACTTTTTGTGATGCGCCACATCACGTGTGCTCGCATGCATGTGCATGCACTTTGCGCCGCATGTGCCGCGACCCTGCACACGGGATGCAACGCAAGTATGCCTTGTATATTTTGTCCAATGGTTTTCATTTCAAGAAGTAAAGTGACAAAGATGAAAGAAAAAAATTGTTGTTAAACTGCTGGTACACCACTTATTTGTTCATTGACTAAGTTTAGATTCTTAGAACGAATTTTTTGTTTTGAATTAACACAATTGCGATGTCGCGTTATGGTTATACGTGCTAGAAACCCAGTTCATTCCGTTTTATTTCTCATTTTAGTATTTTGTAATACTTCAGGTTTACTTGTGTTATTAGGTCTTGATTTTTTTGCTATGATTTTTTTAGTTGTTTATGTAGGAGCTATTGCTGTTCTATTTTTATTTGCGGCTCTGATGCTACTGCTACTGCTACCGCCACTACTACTGCTACTACTACTACTACTGCTACTACTACTACTACTGCTACTACTACTACTGCTACTACTACTACTACTACTACTACTACTAGTACTACTACTACTGCGACTACTGCTGCTTCTGCTGCTTGTGCTGCTGCTGCTGCTGGTACTACTGCTACTGCTACGTCTACCACAACTACTAGCTGCTGCTGTGACTACTACTACTACGGCTACCACTACTAGCAGCAGCAGCAGCAGCAGCAGCATTTCGTTTTTACTCCTGGGAAGGTCTTCTAAATCCTCATAAGTCTGTTTTTGCAGCTGTTAATGTAACAGCTTTGTTAGTGAATAGTCTCAGTAGGTGGAGGGAAGGAAATGAGCACACGAGGAGCCCGGGCGCGTGATCCATGTGAAACATCAGAGGGACTGTGGGTTGTCCTCGCGTTCTCACTTATGGTTTTAAGCACCGATTGTTTGCAGAACTTCAATGTGGTTAGCCCCGTGTATGTACTTGTCTCCTCGCCTGCCTCCGCCTGATCCAGCTGCCACTACCAGCTCCCAAACCACCACCAACTACTGCTGAAGCTTCTGCTGTTGCTCTGCATTCTCAATATGGAAGGGGAAAAAAAATAACAATCCAGTATGCCCATCCAGTTTCGGATCTTCGTTGTCCAATTGTATGAATTTCTATCCAAGTCGTCGTTTTTATCTGTAGGAGAATCCACCATCTTGGAAATGTGTCCATTCATTGATCGACTTGCTTGTGACTGAGCTGGAGAGGAAATTATGAATCCTCGTGTCCTAGTCAAGCATGTCGGTTGTATGCACCTTTACTATATTTTGACCGTGGCAGTGGAGGTTGATGTCAGCCCAGCAGCAACTATCCCTTCATTGCTTTTTTGTTATAACCCTCCCACCTGCCCAGATGGATCTCCACTCAACGTCCGATAGATCTGTCTGCCTGATCAGAATGTCAAGCAGATATCAGATCCTGCCTGAACCACATGGGTTACTCGTATTGATGATGAGACATTCATGTGATGATCATTTGTTGCTTTACTGATGACTAGAGCTGAAGTGGATCAAACCAAAGCACTCAGTCTGTGCTGTCCTCTCTCTCTCTCTCTCTCTCTCTCTCTCTCTCTCTCTCTCTCTCTCTCTCTCTC